GTGGGGGGGCGGTATGGGGGCATTGGGGGGGTGTATGGGGGTGTTGGGGGTTGCTATGGGGGTGTTGACGGGCTTATTTGGGGTTGTGGACCCAAATCTTTTTCTTTTTTTTTAGGGTGCCAACCGACCCCCGACCGGTAGGGGCCGACCAGTCCAACGGTCAGCAGGTCGGCCTCCGACCAATCCAGGGGCACCGACCGTCGACATGACTACTCTGGTTGCATTTCAATAACCTTAGGAATAGACCTAGCTCGACCTGCTGATCTGAACAATGTGCCCTCTACGCAAACTCTAGGCACTCCCACCTCTCCTCCTCCTCCTCCTGAAGGTAGCAGCAGTACAAGTGCTGGTACACCACACCAACCACACCCCACATGTAACTCACAGGCTTAGCAAACTGTGGCAGACAAAGAGTCTCAGTCATACAGTGCCCATCATCTCTAACTCACCTGCTCTCAACGAAGTTATTTGTCGGCATTTCTTCAAACCTGTGGAATTTAAGAGGAGCAAGAAACGGAAAAGACAAAGAAGAAACACACACCAGCAAGGAACACCGTTTAATGAGGAATTCGCAATCATCCAAAGAACATCAAAAAAAAAAAAAAGCCACCCTACAACAACTGTAGAATTGTAGACATCGTGTGATTACTGTTGACAACCCAACCCTCGCTTCAACTTCCGAACCTTCCACCACTTCTCGAGCAGATCATGGGCGATTATCAAAAGTCTCTTTTTATTAAACTGGTCCTATACCTATTTACAGTACTACCCTTCCCGAGACACAAAACCAGAACATGGCCAAGGAGTTCGTACTAAAGACACATCCAACTGACCAGGCACATAGCAGAAAGACCCGCATTCGTTCTTGGGCAAGCCCAAACACTTCAGACAAGGAAACCTCAGCATGGACACAGTTCTAGCACTGTGAACTGGAGTCTGGAATGATCATTGCAGGCCCACTACGAGCACTGTTATGTAACTCTGGCCGCCTCGTCAGGACTGGCCTGAGCTGAGGCCTAATCCACTCCGTTTCCACGCCTCCTCATTGGAGCTTACTTCAGATTAGAACGGGAAGGCAGGCATGTTCGCTGAGGCGAGAAGGTTAATGTCTCCCTTGATAAGGACTATTACGGAGACTCGTAGTCTACCCCATGTCTTCATCCAACCCAATATTATTCCGACCTCGATAAGGATCCATACGCATGGTTTAGGGCCTCTAGGCTACCCACTCTCGAGGCCCACCTCCATAAGGATCCAAACCAAGCTTTAGACCACCACTGTCCTTGTCCCACCACTGTCCCACCACTGTCCCACCACTGTCCCACCGCTGTCCCACTACCTTAATGGGGATCACGCCGACGGACAAGAGAGGAGGCCACGACAGTTCAGCCTATCCGACCGAGCAAGTTGGTGGCCTCTGATAGGTCAGATGGTTCAGGCATCCAGGGTATTGTGGAAAATAAGGTGTCACACAGGTGACAGTTTTTATTTATTTTTATTCTAGACTTTTGACTTGTATTGTTCATTAGAGCTCTACTTTTTTTTCTTTTTTTTTAACTCATCTCTAATGTCCATCATCACTTTGCTTCTTCATTGCGTTCCCTGGCAGTATATATACAGTACAGAGGTGAGGGGATGAAGGAATGAAAAAGGAATGTGTGACAATTCGGCGCCTGCAGTTGTGGTTAAAGAAAAGACACATGAAAAGACACGACCAGAGAACAAATCAAAAGCATGGAACCCGGGATCAACCACAAGCCTCTTAGGTGGTAATTCTTCAGGAGAGAGAGCCTTTCCAGAACAAGCATTAAGGAAAGTAAGAGTGGTGGAATCTGACGAAAGACGCATATATGAAGTTATGAACCTTTACTAGGCATAGCAGAGTTGGAGGTCGATCCAGCGGAATGGGCCTGGAAGAGGAAGTCTGGAAGACTAGGAATAGAGAAGCGTAATAACATCCTTGAATATTCTACTAAGCTGGGCTATTCCCTAAGAATGAGATCGGTCTCAATAACCCAGACCATTAACCAAAGATGGGAAAACCACCTCAATTTACCACCTAACCAAACTCTCATCTCCTCATGGAGTAGACTCCTCGCCATCACCCCCGTCAAGATAAGAAGCTTCCAATGGCTGTTAGCCTATCGGGCGCTCCCGGTTAACAAATGGTCGAACAAAAGAAGGAACGCCCAGGTGCAATCACCTATGAAAGAACGTTGTTCCATTTGCCAGGAGGGACTGACAGAGGATATAGAACACTGTTTGCTAGAATGCCAGAAAGCCAAACGGTTATGGACACAAGCCTTCCGGCTTTGGCTTTTAATCACTAGCAAACCAAACTTAGTAAAAGATAGGAGAAAAGTAGCACAGGCTAACTTAGGCAGGGGTGTGGGGGGGTATATCCTTCCTGATGGAAGCAATCAATGCCGCCCCTCGGGCCTCCACACCAGAAGGGGTACGAGCGTGAGCGTGTTCTCAAAAAGGGAAATTTAGAGGAAAGTAGTAGTAAAAACAGTCATCGGAAAGAAAGGAAGGGCTCAAACCCCAAGCTAGAGAGAGGAAGAGGGTTCAGGGTTGAGGGTTTTTGAGCTTAAGAACAGCACCTGTTTTACATTTTTAGAACCTAGGAACAGCTAAATCAATGGAGGACTAGGAATAGCGCCTTCCAAGAGAAACACTCAAGAAACAAACTGCGTACTACAAACGTCCCGAGAAGCTTAGGGTTTAGGGTTTAAGAGAAAGCAAAAGGTATAAACCGCAGTTCAGATAAGTTTTTTACATTACCCGGCAGAGCAAGCAAACCCTTAGATGTGAAACAGTTTTCACCTTTGGCAGTAGCCGATGCAGATCCCAGGGGTCGATCCCTTGACCTCAGCTTACCTGTGTACAGTATCTGCACAGTTCCCTGGAGTTGAACCCGTGACCTGCACGATAGCCAGTGGTAAGGAGGTCGCCGTTGGTTGTAGGCTATAGGGAGATTCGAACTGTAGACCTGTAAGGTAGGAGTCCAAGTAGAGTCCAGAGGCCTAGCTTTAGTCCTTCTAGAAGGTCGGCAAGTGGTCAAGTGGTGAGTCTAAGGTAGGCCCACGTTTTCAGACGAAGACAAGTGGCAAGGTCAACAGGTAGGACCTCAGTGCAACTGCACTGAGTCGACGGTACGACTGCCTACAGTCAGCAGAAGGGTCTAGAGAGTCCCAGTCCAGTCCAGCAAGTACCACAGGGGGACTGTGAGCACCAAGGGCCGATGGCAAAGGGCAGACCAACGTATTTCTGAAGTATAAATCAAGAGGCAGCGCCCAGCCATTCATTCATTCCTGCGTGAGCCATGCGGAAGCGCTGCCACAGCGACTTGTGCAAGGAGGTCTGCAGATGAGCCCGGAGGACGCAGTGGGCAAGAGAGGAGGAGTTAGCATAGCGATAGGTTAGAGGCAGCCATAGCTGCCATAGCTGCAGTTAGTAGTGAGTGTGTGTGTGCTCGAGTGTTAGAGTGATGCGTGTGGGATATCCAGGGTGATCCAGTGTATGTGAACAGTGAGATGTTTGGGCGCTGAAGTCGCCATAGCCATTTGAGAGTGAACTCGTATCTGAAGCCATATCTCTGAGTTTTGAGTGGGCGCATGTCGCCAGTGTGCTGCGTTACTGTTTACATGTGTGAAAAGTGTGTTTGAAAACGAATCTGATTGCAGATGCCAGCCCTGGACATCAGCTCTAGCATTCAGGTTTATCCGACAGCACTCAGCTGAGAGGAGCTAGGATCCAGGCGACTCAAAGGATCAAAAGGTAGAGGACATAGGCTAACTTAGGCAGGGGTGAGAGGTGGTACATCCTTCTCTAGGGAAGTAATCAATGCCGTCCGCTCGGGCCTCTCAGCCAGAAGGGGAGGAGCGTGCGTGTGTTTTCATTGTATTCATGTTTGACTTGCCGGGGAATAGGAACCGGACTGTTGCTCCCCAGAATGGCAGGAGCCAGAATCGAGAGGTTCTGTTTTGAAAAGAAAAAGAAATAAAAAAAAAAAAATCAAAAGCCTGGGAAGGCAGGCAAACTTACCCCATCTCCAAGAAGATCTTCTGGAATTGTGCACGCACCTGTCATCACAACAACAGCCCAGCCAGTTACTTTCAGCACACTCACTAACATGAGACTTCTGCACCGACAACTTGCACGGAGGAATCTCGCTCGCAAACTGGCTTTCCAATGCACAAAAGCCAATAAACAAACAGAAGCTCACACACATTGCCGATAGACACCAGCCTCCTCCGTTTTTTCTACGACCCTTTCTCAATGTATGTGTGTCGTCCTTGCACATGCTTAATCTTTCCAATGTTAATGGATCGCACACCTTGTCTGCAACTGTATCATTCCAATGTTAATGGATCGGATACCTTGTCTGAAACTGCAGAAGAACACATTTCCAGAAAAACATTGCAATCGCAGCTGGTAGATATTAGGACTTAGTGTAGCTGTTACCTGCAGTCTTCCGTTACTATCAAGTGTGAAGCGGTGCCCCATCCGGGTCAGGTTGTCGTGCCCCTTGCAGGTCCGGTTGGTAGATAAGACTGGTTCGAGTACGCCGCTAGTGGCATGTGGTGTTAAAAAAACAAAAAAAAAAAACAAAAAAAAAAACAAAAAAAAAGAAAGAAGGAAAGGAAGGAACGCAGAAACAGGACCACTCATCTGCAACAGATTTAGCTCAATGTGCGCTATCCACATGATTGGCGACACTTCGCCTTGAGCTACACAACGTGCCCAGACAAAAAAAAAGAAAACTCTAGACATAGCAAAAACATTCAAAAGACAACTCACTCAGACTTTATGACAGCACAAAAAAACAACAGCAGAGTAAAATGAGCGACAGATCAAGTAGCAGTCCACCATGGTTGCATCCCTGCCGACTGCCGACCCGGACCGCCGACCGTATTGCAGCCGACCAGTAGGGCCGACCGGTCAGCGGTCTGCCGACCAGTGAGAAAACAACCATCCACTAATTTTTTTTCAGATCTGAGTAGGAAGCTGTACTGCGCTTGCTGAGTACAGCTCAAATCCGCTGAGAAACTTTTGGGGATGGGGGGGTTGACACTGGGGTGTATAGGGGGATATAGGGGGATATAGGGGGGTAT